GCTGCTTGTGCTCACATGCATACATACATATACATATTTGAGAGAGCAGAGAGCATCGTGAGAGAGAGAGAGAGAGAGAGAGAGCAAAGGAAACATTCAGCGCATAGGGATCTTTTGTTCAATATTTGACCATCTCGGTCGAGCGCATGAAGCGAAATGATTGTGCTTTCGAAGTGTCTGGGAGATAACTCCCGAAAAAAAAGTTTGCAAAACGCTTTACACTACTTGTCCGGTCTATATGTTCTCTGGTTAGTGATATTACCTTAAGTTCAGTTGGGTTACCAGTTTCGTCACCATGAACGCTGTGGATCTCTTCAATCAGGCTGTTAAGCTTTTCGAACCGCTGCATTTTGATTTCAATTTTAGATTGTATCTTCTTTAGTTCATCGTCCAAACTATTTGACTTTTCTTCAGCTTTAGTTAGTTTGTCTTGAATTTTGTCATTTTGTTTCTTTGTGTTAAATAATACGCTTCGCAATTTCTCCACATCGAGCATGGCCAATGCTAATTGATTTTGTACTTTCGACAACGAAATGTCAACGCTTCGACGATGCTCTTGAGCTTTATTTAATAATTTAAGACGATAAGCACTAGCTTTATCAGTGATAAGCTGATCCTGAGCTAACTTCAAGATGGCCTCCTCAGTTTTGAATTTTTTTTGATGGTTTTTGTCCAAAATCAGATCGAGTCTACGCATTTCTGATAATAATTTATTTCCTTCACGAGTCGCTTCTTGCAAATCGGCTTCGGTACGGGCCAGAAACTCTGGAAACTCGTCCAGCTTTGTTTGCAAGGTCAGTAATGCTTCCATTTCCCTTTGGCCTAAAAATATGTATAAATTAATAACTTGATTGCGATTGATTAGACTTTTTCACTTACAATCACGACTTAAGTTACTCATATCATCGGCCAATCTTTGCTTGAAGGATTCCAGCTTTTTGTTAAGCTCCATTTCTCTTGAAATTTGCTTTTTCACGGCCTCAATTCCGTTTGAATTCAGTTTTATTGACTCTTTTTGCTTACTGTTTTTTTAAATTTTGTTATTTTTTTTTATTATTAAATATGTATGTAGTATTAAAAAAAAAAAAAAAAAAAAAAAAAAAAAAAAAAAAAAACAAGTAAGAAAACTCTAGTCGAGAGTGCTCAACTAGATACTACCCTGAACCCAACAAATAAAAATGCCCATTTAGTATGGCTAAAATTTCAATTTCGATTGACATATTTAAATATATAAATGAAGTACAAAACTCATTTAATAAAATATAAAAATATTTTGAAACAATTGAAAAAATTAATATAGCTCGCACCGCTCGGGATTCGAACCCGCGACTTCTCGATCGAGCGTCACGCAGCTACTCACTACGCCACCTCACTTYYGRRAKSYGMGSTGGCAAAACTGAAATAGATTCACTGCTGCAGCGCCATCTAGCAAAACTAAACCAAACTAACTGCTGATGTGATTCTAAGAATCTGCTAGTATAACCAAACTATTAAAAACGCACATTAAGTATGGTTAAAATTTCAATTTCGGTGTATTTAAAAAAATTAATGAAATAGAAAACTCATTTATGAAAATATAAAAATATTTTGAAATAATTAAAAAAAATTAACATCAGCTGCACCAATCGGGATTCGAACCGCGACTTCTCGATCGAGAGTCTTGCAGCTAACACACTACGCCACCTCACTTCTGGAAGCGGCGCTGGCAAAACTCAAATGGATTCACTGCTGCAGCGCCATCTACCAAAACGTTCAAACATACGGACAGACGGCCAGACGGACAGACGGACAGGGCCAAATCGACTCAGCTCGTCGCCCTGATCAAGAATATATATACTTTGTGGGGTCTGCCACGCCTCTGCCTGTTACATATATTTCAACAAAACCATTATAGCCTTTTTTTGATTTCCCATTGAAAATGGGTTCAGGATATAAAAAGAGGAATTTCCATACTGTTATTTAGAATTACGTACCGTATGTTGTCCTGAACTTGAAAGAGTATTTTATCTCTTTGCTGAATAGCTATGATAACTTCACTCCATGCCTGAATTAAGCGTTTATGCTCATTTTGCAGAGCCTCCAAATCAGTGTTAGCATCGGCAATGCTCATGTTAAGGACATTAACCACCTCCTTAATTGCAACTTCATCTTCGGAAATTGATTGCAGCTCTGCTTCTTTTTTCTTTACTTCCATATCGAGTCTATAAAATAGTATATCCGATTTTCTTTTTTCCTCTGACAGCTGTTTTTGCAATTGAGCATCGCGGCTAACAATGCGCTTTGCATTTTTAACTTCATCTTCCACTTCGTATGCCCAATTCTTAATATTACTGCCCAAACTTTGAAGATCTTCTAGTTCCATCATTCGATTATGGTATAATGATTTTTGAGTTCTTGTCAACTTAATTTTCTCGTCATATTCCTTCCTTAGAATCTCTACGGCGGCTTCTTCCAGTTGGCGTTTTTCGATATGTTCATCAATTTGGGCAGATATTTCCTTGATTTGTTGCTCCTGGTATGTAATTTTATTTTGCATGTCATACAATGCCAGCCCCTGCTCCTCCCTACGTTCCTCTTTGGTCTTGACATGATATTTTATATCTGTAATCTCGTTTTCCAACTTATTTTTTGTACGCAAAAGATGTTCCTTCAAAGACAGTTGAAATCTTCGTAGCAAAGGATGGTTAGGCGGAAGTATACCCATTTCTTCAGGCTCCAGAACAGGCTGTTGACCATGTTCCGTAGTATTTGCAAATTCACAAGACTCGAAATTCCCATCATCAGACATTGTAAATGTTTTTTTTTTTCAGCAAATATATATCTTTTGAAAATATGTTTCGTATAATTCAGTTCAATTGTGTAAAACTACTTGTTATTTTTGACAATACTACTTGACATTTAAGGTTGCTAAGCGTTACGAATGGTTCTGTGCAACGTCAATCGTGCTGTTAGTCCATCTGTTCCGTCACTTTTAAAGCTAGAGACTTGAAATTTTAAATATATACGCCTTTGTTTATAGATTTTGTATAGGCTCTCGTTATATATATTTTTATATTTTCCTACCAAATTATACTTATTACAAGAATTTATTTATTTTAATTGAATAATTTATTTGCTGCTCTCCTAATGCTTATGTCTATTGCTCAAATGGTGTGCAAATAAATACATAAGAATATATACGATGCGTGTTGCCAAGGAGATGTACATATGTATGTTCATTGTTTAGGTTGGATTGTTTCTTCGTTTTGATTAAGAAACTGCAAGTCGTACAATATTTAAGATATGAAGTATATATCTAAATATAACTAGACATCTATTTGATATCCCTTGATCTCACCATTCTCGGAGCGAAATAAGTATGCTAATTTTATTGAACATTTTTCGGGTAGCCTCAGAACTAGAATATGTACTCGGGTTTATTAGCCGAAGGTATTTATATATAACAAATAAGGGCTCTGCAGTCAGGCACGCCTCTAGCAACTAGTTTCTGGCACTGTCGCGACGCATCGCACACTGCAATGCGCGCTCTGCTTGTAAAGCAAATTGAGGAAGTTATTCAGACTATTTATGATTCGACACTAAACGTCGAGAATGGTATTGGCATTTCTCTTATAGTTACTTCAATATTCCTGGAAAGTTGAGTCGTACATCCCTTCTAGCAAAGTACCGTATCTAAGCGACAATGGGGTCCCTAAAAATAAACTTGAAGTAAACTCCGCAGCTCAAATTACTGAGTATCGACGTTATTCTTTGACTTGACCTGTCGTCTGCCATGGAATCATCAGCGTCCACCATTGCGTGAACGTCAAACTGATGTGGCATAGAACCCCCAAGGACTGCCTATACTTAGACCTCAGAGCAAGTTAGGCTTTAGGCTGATAAGTTGGAACAACTCGGTCGGTTAAACTACATGCCGAAGTTGAACATATAAAATATCAACCTACAATTTGAAAAAAGCAAACACCAACTGTGCACACATCCACCTAGCCTGCCGTTCCAAATATTGCAAAAGAAAAATTAACCAAATCACCACCCAAATTAAAAGAGATTTCAAAACTAAAGAGAACATGTGACATGTGAGGGACCACTAAACTCACCTTAATGTGAGTACACCGGCACTGCCAGCACCGGTCTCCCACCATAGAAGCAGAAGCCTGTACAGCCTGCACCGGCACCGCCTGGCGCATCAAGTAAGGCCAAGGAAAAGTGAACTGACAGCGGAGCGCCTGCAATATATTTTTTCTATAGAAAGAGAAAGAGCTGCATGTCTAATGTAGGTCATGTGCGCTGTTGGGTCAAACATGCTGGCACTGAAATTACACATGCACTATAAGTGTGCTTTTGATATTTATTGCTAATACTTGCAATGAATTGTTACAGTATTTATTCAACATATTGGACATGCTACACTATCATCCAAATAAATAATTCAAATCCGCATGAACAACGCTTTACATTTCCAAATCTCCTAGTTTATGCTGATCATTGGCAATGAATTCATCCCTTCACCAACAAATGAGTTATCTTAAGTGTACTATACAAAATAAATTTTCTAAATTAGCCATGATGATTACATTTTAATTATTCAAAATTTCAACATACAAAGATGTAAGTTTTGTTAACAATGCTCACAAAAAATAATAGTTTGTTCATAGTGTATTGGCATAAATGTAAAATGTTTATTTAAAATACATACATTTAAGAGATCGTACTCTTGACCTTGAAATGTGTTTTGGAATTACATGCATATACGGTAACTAATTGTAAATTCAAATCTTTAGGTACGTAAATAAATACATATATCAAATTTTTTAATGAGCAATGCATAATTGCAATTTTAAAAAGTGTAGAAATTGAATGTAACATGTTTACAATAGTGCATACATGTGAATATGCAAATCTAAGGAGTTCCATCTTCATTATGAGTAAATCAATCCCAAAACATATACTACATTTCATCATCAAAGTATTACATATTCATTATTATAGCAAATTTGTATTGTTCTTTTGACAATATTTTTAGATTTTAATTTAGGAATTGAGAGCAAACGCACATAAAAATGTAAAAATTACATAAACTCTTTAAGATACTAAGTTAAATGTTTCAATTAATATTTTATCATGTTGTGCTTACAATCTACACAATTATGGGCATTACACGCGCGATGATTCGACTTAAATATGTATATAACAAAGTTCAATTTGTTTCTTGGATAATAAAAAACATGTTAACACTTGACTACTCTGTGGAATAAAGCAGACAAGGCAAAGGTTTTATGTATTCAAAGAGAAGCAAATTGACTATTTGCAGTTCCCTATAAAAGGAACTGACAAAAACATTCAATTATACAATCAATAAACCTTTTGATGACTTATTTCTCATCTAAAATTATATCTTTAAAGACAAAATGACAATGACGGCTTTAAAAAAGAAAATTTGAAAATACTTTTCTTTGAAGATATTCTATTTGATTGGAAAAGCCCACATTGATTGTAATTTATTTAAATAATTCTTTATATGTATATATTATACTTATATTATTTGCTAGTCCCACAACATATAATTTATTAAGTAACAAATGTGCTTCTCCTTTTTTTTTTAGTTTTACGATTTATAATTTTAATATGTAAATGACAAAAAATTATAGATGTGCTATTTATATCCTAATGTCTTAAAAATTTCTGAGTAGTATATATTTATGTCATACCAGGAAATAACACATAAGATATACCCCAATGAAATGAGTTTACGTTCAATATAAATATTTTGTAACACTTTAAGTTTCTGAATCAATTTTAAGTTGTTTTATAAAAGATTTTACTAGACACCTTGCTTACCGTTATTTTAAAAGCTAACTATGGTCTGAAAATGAGATTGCTATGGTTGATAACTGTAAATTGATCATTAGGAAAAAAATCTTAATCATTAGGAAGCACGTATTGCGGAATAACCTGTACGGCATCACTACATCATACAGATATCAATTTTTTTTTTTAATATTTCCACTCCTTCAACTGACATAAACGCAAAACCCTTCACATCAGAAAATAAAAGCTTGCATACAAAAAATCTCTATTACCATTATCGGTATGCTTTCGATAAATAAGTTTGATCCTCTACAAAATATAATTGTTTTAATGGGTAAGATAGAATAAAGTATTTTCTTATATAGAAAAAAAAAACAAAAAATTAAGAAATTTTTTTTTTAGATGAATTATTAAAAAAACGTATTGTTTTTTTTCTTGAGGTATATGCTTAGCCAATTACTTATTAATGATGTTATTTATAACTATGTTGAATATTTATGGGATGTTCATAAATAGACTAATTGCATATACGTTACTATAGTTTTTTTTGTTTTTTTTTTTTGGGTAACTTGAATACATTTACCACTGCAGAGTAAAGTTACTTCATATGCATGAAGGAATGAGAAACTGAATAATTTAATTACCATGTTTAAAAAAAAAAAAACAAAATTAAAATAAAACAAATATTTAAAAATGTTAATTTTTATTTTTTAATAATTGTTTTTATAGCGCCTGTTCTGGTTGTCGTTCTTTAAATTTCAACGTTTCTTGAAAGATTAATGATTTTAAAGCGTCTCGCGATATATCATCATTTTCCATATTAATGCCAAATGGTACTTCTGCAACGGGCTACAAAGTAAAAAAGAAATAATCAGTTTATATAATATTATTACATCATTAAGATATTAAGGTTACCTCGTCGCCAGGATCATAATACTGCTCTAAATATGGATGTGCAAGAGCTTCCTCTACTGGAATACGCTTGTGTGGGTTGAACGTCAACATTTTACCAAGTAAATCCAAAGCCAAAGGATCCGCATTTGGAAATAACCTCGACCATGGCACATTTGGTTTAAAAGGCAAAGACTCTAAATAATTTCGTGCCTAAAATACAATTATTAGCAATCAAAATATTTTTACGAATTCTTAATACATACCTTTTCATTTATAATACATTCTAAATCTTCCTGGGATGGAGAACCTAGGACTCCAAGAATATGGTTCAGTTGATCTAGATAATGTTTTCCCGGAAAAATAGGTCGGTTGCTTAACATTTCTGCCAAAATGCATCCAACCGACCAGATATCAATGGATTTTGTATATCCTTTTGAATTAAGCATGATTTCAGGTGCCCGATACCATCTAGTTGCTACATATTCTGTAAGAAACCCAGTATGGTCGTGGTCTGGATCAGCAATGCGAGCCAAGCCAAAGTCGCAAATCTAATAAGGATTGAATTTAAATAACTGCAGTATATGTAACGTGTCATTTAAATATACACACTTTTAGATCGCATGTCTTGTTTAATAAAAGGTTGCTCGGCTTAAGATCTCGATGTAAAACGTTTGCCGAATGGATATACTTTAAGCCACGCAATATCTGATACAGAAAGTAACAGATATGATCATTACTCAGCCTCTGTAAATAAGAAATAATAATAATTAATTGGGAACAACAAATACTAGTAAGAGTTAAGTTGCATTTTGGGCAACGTTATGGGAACGTATTTGAACAAGGAATTTTCAGAATAGAATATGGGTGCATTAGCCCACTCTCTGGTCTCTAGAATTCGAAATAGGATTTTCGTAAATTGGATTTATCAATTTGAGTTAGGAACGTTATACAAAATACACATTTAACGTTTTTTATAATTCTGTCTGTGTTACTAAACAGATTTTAATGGCATTCTTAGCAACCAAGCTTAAATACATGGTAAAATTGCTGGGAAGTTATAGGAAAAACACAAACCAAATTTTGATTTTGACTTCTAGCTCACAAGGTGTCCGATAACTGCCACGCCCTTCTCTGCCTGTATATTCACATATAGTCATCAAACGTGTTATACCATCGTAGCCTGATGTTGACTTTCTAGTTAAGATCACCACACTGGTTAGTTTTGCTTTGATATTGCAACATTTGCGCAAATTAAAACTAATTATTATACTTTGCGGAATAAGTATTTAATAAGATACCATACATGTAGCGGTAGATATTACTAAAGCAGATACTAAAGATACTAAAGCAATTCACAACTTTCCGGCGAAGTTCGGCTACTACAACATTCAAGCGGGAATTGGTTAATCCATAGACTGTAAAAGCCTGATTAACAAGAGGGACATGGCACAAACATATACGTATTCATTAAAGGATCGCTCATTGTAAATGAGCTCAAAAAACGGCCACTTGAATTAAAGCAACTATCAAAAATAGCCCAAAAATATATATATATATATACATATTCAAATTATTTTATATCACCTGTGTTTTAAGTAGTTTATACAGATCAGTCTCCATTAAGCATTGTACAATATATACATCCCTCATTTGTTCTATGCTATCTACTCGCAGAATGTCACGTATATCAATTATCTAAATGAAACAAATTATTTAATTAAAATGGAACAATATTATTAATTTAAATTACATTTTCGTGTTTAAATCTGGTTAATATGGTTATCTCCCTTAGCGTTCGTTGACAATACGTCTGATGCTCAAAGGGTGAAATTTTTTTGATAGCAACTCTTTGGTTTGTCAACGTGTCATCAGCGGATCTGTAAAATAACATAAACATTTTATAAATAATGTGGAGTACGGCTACCCTAAATTCAAGTGTTAAGCTAAGAAGAAGTAAGACTTACATCTAATCAGTGCGCAATTAAGAAAGAACATGAAAGGTTTGCTATTCTGATAAAACGAGGTGTGTGCGCATTTAGATAATATCGATAATAGAACTTTCGTATGACAAAGAATACATAGCCATTAACGCGTTACCTACAGCAACACATTCATTCACAGCCCAATGCAGAATTTATTTGTTAGAAAAGTCTATAAGCATTCTGGAGATACTGAACTGTTCCATTCTGCATCTATAGCTCAAAAACAATACAAGTGAGCAAGCTCTATTCGAGACTGCTCGACTACGAGATCTCCTGAACCCTTTGAGTAACAGCTATTTCAATCATTCGCGTCCTTCTGCTTACACAAGAAACACACAGGCACCCACACACAAACATACATACACACACACGCCTACACTCAGGGTATAAAAACAAGTAAGAACGTTGCAGTCGGGCGCTACCGACTGCGGAATACTTATTCACATCCCATCAGCAATCTAGCAGCTAAGTTTGGCTCTAATACTGTAATACACTGGGCGTAGACACCTCTTTTTTGGTCAGTGCTTAGAACGAGCGAAAGGTACCCTAACTACAAAATTTGAATGCTTACGCTCAAAAAATGTGAAAATTACTGGGTGTTTTTCGATATGTCACGTCCATAAAGAGGCGTAAAAATTATTTTTGGGTCAACGACATATATAGTATCCTCCTCACTAATAACTCAATTATACAAATTTGAAGCTTCTAGCTATTTACTTTAGCAGATATAAACTTTTACGGTTTGTCATGCTTTTTGGTCTTGGGTGGACAGCCCGAGTATATATACAAAATTTGAGGTCTCT